AGTAGTAGTAGTGGTGGTGGTGGTGGTGGTAGTAGTAGTAGCAGTAGTAGTGGTGGTGGTGGTAGTAGTAGTAGCAGTAGTAGTGGTGGTGGTAGTAGTAGTAGTAGTAGCAGTAGTAGTGGTGGTGGTGGTAGTAGTAGTAGTAGTAGTGGTGGTGGTGGTAGTAGTAGTAGTAGTAGCAGTAGTAGTGGTGGTGGTGGTGGTAGTAGTAGTAGCAGTAGTAGTGGTGGTGGTGGTGGTAGTAGTAGTAGCAGTAGTAGTGGTGGTGGTGGTGGTAGTAGTAGTAGTGGTGGTGGTGGTGGTAGTAGTAGTAGTAGCAGTAGTAGTGGTGGTGGTGGTAGTAGTAGTAGCAGTAGTAGTGGTGGTGGTGGTAGTAGTAGTAGCAGTAGTAGTGGTGGTGGTGGTGGTAGTAGTAGTAGTGGTGGTGGTGGTGGTAGTAGTAGCAGTAGTAGTGGTGGTGGTGGTAGTAGTAGTTGCAGTAGTAGTGGTGGTGGTGGTGGTGGTAGTAGTAGTAGCAGTAGTAGTAGTGGTGGTGGTGGTGGTAGTAGTAGTAGTAGTGGTGGTGGTGGTGGTAGTAGTAGTAGTAGCAGTAGTAGTGGTGGTGGTGGTAGTAGTAGTAGCAGTAGTAGTGGTGGTGGTGGTAGTAGTAGTAGCAGTAGTAGTGGTGGTGGTGGTAGTAGTAGTAGCAGTAGTAGTGGTGGTGGTGGTAGTAGTAGTAGCAGTAGTAGTGGTGGTGGTGGTAGTAGTAGTAGCAGTAGTAGTGGTGGTGGTGGTGGTAGTAGTAGTAGTGGTGGTGGTGGTGGTAGTAGTAGTAGTAGCAGTAGTAGTGGTGGTGGTGGTGGTAGTAGTAGTAGTAGCAGTAGTAGTGGTGGTGGTGGTAGTAGTAGTAGTAGCAGTAGTAGTAGTAATAGTAGTAGTGGTGGTAGTAGTAGTAGTAGCAGTAGTAGTGGTGGTGGTGGTGGTAGTAGTAGTAGTAGCAGTAGTAGTGGTGGTGGTGGTGGTAGTAGTAGTAGTAGCAGTAGTAGTGGTGGTGGTGGTGGTAGTAGTAGTAGCAGTAGTAGTGGTGGTGGTGGTGGTAGTAGTAGTAGTGGTGGTGGTGGTGGTAGTAGTAGTAGTAGCAGTAGTAGTGGTGGTGGTGGTGGTAGTAGTAGTAGTAGCAGTAGTAGTGGTGGTGGTGGTAGTAGTAGTAGTAGCAGTAGTAGTAGTAATAGTAGTAGTGGTGGTAGTAGTAGGAAAAGCATCAGATATGATCCAAACATGGACCAGACAAATACATAAAAGTGAAATCGAAATCTAAAAAGGTAGAAATATGTTTATATTATAAAATCATAATAGAAAACAATCCTTATAGTTAAGAAAAGTCCCAGAAACACTTGAGCCAGTGCCTCCTTGGGCTGGACGAGTAGCGACAGCAGCTCAGTAGGATCTGTGATTGCTGACCTTAGTTTACAAACCAGAGAAAAAATCTGATTTTTCGGAGGATCTTACTGAATTTCAGCCGACTGCGATCACCAAAAGCAGTGTTTGGTTAGTCTAGTGATTCCCAGCAGGCTGTAGGCTACAACATGGGCTGGTCTGGCTACTGAGAAACAAATGATGAAGAATTGTGTCCAGTCAGGACCCATTGGTACCAGCATCAGTACTTCTCCTATTGATGTTTTTAGATAAGTTGAATCCATTCATTCCGAATGCTCAGTTGTGGTCCCCGCCAGATGATGGAGGACCAGTGCAGACCCCTGGGACCTCCTAGTTTTCTCTGCAGGATCCAGATCCTCCCCAAAGGTCTTAGAGACCAGATGATGGTCTATGATTCCCCTGGGACCGGAGCGTGATTATCCCTGCTCCTTCATTCCCTCTTCCCCTGCTTCCATCCTCATGTAACTTCCTTGTGCTCACCCCCACCATCCCACGCCCGGAAGCGGCAGAAGGTGAAGTGATGGACGTGTGAATAGGTCCAGAGGGACGGCTTTGGCCACAGACTCTGTTTGCCTGTCGTGTAGTGGCATTTTTTTCAAGTGATGCAGAAGAGCGTCGGTTACCACGGCAACTATGAAATGAGATGTCCTCAGCCTCCACGTGTTTTTCCTGGGAGGAGGAAACAATTGATTGACGGAGGAGGGGACGTAAGAGACGCTGGCCTAGCCTGCTCTCGGCTCTGTTCATGCTGTTCTCTAGAAAGTTCTGCTGCTGCTGCCACTGTTTTCACCAATCTGATTAAATTCTACTCGTTCCACTTTTAGTTAAGCAAATTCAACCCATAAAAGATTTTTGAGGAATAGTTGTTTGTGTTTCTGTAAAGTTCAGACGGGTCAAAACCAGAACCATCTGCTCGTATCCGGGTCAGGACTGCGGCCCTGTTGCTCGTGCTGTTAGGTGAAGAAAAAAGTTTTTAAAAAATCCAGTTTTTCTCTTTGTTTGGTATGAAGGCATTCCTGGTGTCGGCACACGCGTGTTCAGAGTGTGTCATCACAGATTCAAGTTTATTTAAATATCACCAAATCACGACAAGAATCATCTCAAGGACCTTCACACAGTAAACGTTCCAATACAGGTCAGTTCATTAAGCCAATCAGTAAAACGTTTCCTATATAAGGAACCCAGCAAATTGCATCAAGTCTTTAGAGAGCAATCCTCATACTAAGCAAGCATGCAGCGACAGTGGAGAGGAAAACTTCCTTTTAACAGGAAGAAACCTGCAGAGGATCCTGGCTCAGGATAAGCAGCCATCCTCCACGACTCACTGGGGATCGAGAAGAAAGAGCACACACACACACACAACACACACACCAAGTAATGTTTCTATGGTTACACCGTGATTTCTTAGTAAATATTCTATTTGGTGAGAGATAAACTTTATTGTATTTATCCTAGTGGATCTATAATTAAACGGATAAACTAGTAGTAGCACATCCAACGTCAAGGAAAGCAAAAAGTTATTATCAGGAGAGGGAGAATGTTTTAGTAGTTAGCAGCAGTGTGCTAGACGATGGCCCCCTCCATGAGGCCACCACAGCTCAGCAGAACATCGTTGTAGCTTCTTCTGGGGAGAAAAACACTTAGAGAGAAAATAAAGTTAACAGCTGAAATAGCAGGAAATAATACAGTTAAAGAGCAGATTGTAGAAGAAAGCAGTAGAGTGTGGAAAGTGGTCAGTGTATCCTCTAGCAGTCTAAGCCTATAGCAGCATAACTACAGAAATAACTCTGGATAATCTATCCTATTTAGATGGAGGCGTGTTGGAGGCAGGGCAAGGGAGAGCCGTCTTTACCGACTGTACACTCCACCTCCCTCTACTCCCCACTTGTCCAGATCTAGACTACCATCAGATTTTAACCATAGGCCCTATCAATAAAAATGTTTTAAGCCTAGTCTTAAAAGTAGACAAGGTGTCTGCCTCACGGACTAAAGCTAGGAGCTGGTTCCACAGGAGAGGAGCCTGATAACTAAAAGATCTGCCTCCCATCCTAATTTTAGATATTCTGGGAACCACCAGTAGACCTGCAGTCTGAGAGCGAAGTGCTCGGTTAGGAACGTATGGAACAATCAGATCACTGATGTATGATGGAGCTTGATTATTAAGAGCTTTATATGTGAGAAGAAGGATCTTAAAATCTATTCTGAATTTAACAGGTAGCCAATGTAGGGAAGCTAAGACAGGAGAGATATGATCTCTCTTTGTAATTCTCATCAGAACTCTAGCTGCAGCATTTTGGACAAGCTGAAGACTTTTAACTACATTCTGTGGACTTCCTGAGAGTAATGAATTACAGTAATCCAGTCTTGATGTAATAAATGCATGAACTAGTTTTTCAGCATCACTCCTGGAAAGGATGCTTCTAATCTTAGCAATATTCCGAAGTTGGAAAAAGGAAATCCTACAAACCTGTTTAACCTGGGATTTGAATGACATGTCCTGGTCGAAGATAACACCAAGGTTCCTTACTTTGTTCTCGGAGATTAATGTCATGCCATTCAGGTCAGGTGATTGATTAAGCAATTTCCTTTTCTGGATTTCTGGTCCAAAGATGAGAACTTCCGTCTTGTCTTGATTTAAACAAGAAAGTTTAGAGTCGTCCAATTTTTTATGTCTTCAAGACAAGCCTGTAATCTAACTGAATGATAAATGACCCGCACTTGTATAGCGCCTCTCAGAGTAAGGACTCCAAAGCTCTTTACACTACCCATTCACACACCCATTCACACACACATTCACACACTGATGGTGATGAGCTACGATGTAGCCACAGCTGCCCTGGGGCGCACTGACAGAGGCGAGGCTGCCGAGCACAGGCGCCACCAGTTCCTCTGACCACCACCAGCAGGCAAGGTGGGTTAAGTGTCTTGCCCAAGGACACAATGACAGAACACTTTGTCCGTAGCCGGGATTGAACCTGCAACCTTCCGTTTACTGGACAACCCGCTCAACCTGCTGAGCTACTGTTGCCCAAATGATTAGGTTCATCAGGGTTAATGGATAAATATAACTGAGTATCGTCAGCATAACAGTGGAAGTTTATCCCACGCTGTCTAATGATTTTACCAATTGGGAGCATATATATAGTAAAAAGAATTGGTCCAAGCACTGAACCCTGTGGTACTCTGCAAGTAACCCTGGAGTATGTAGAAGAAGATCACCACAGCAGATGTTCTACTTCCTGCTTCAGCACACCGCAGTGAACTCTGGGAGAAGATTTCTCACCGTGCCTCAACATGAGTGTTTAGGGTGTGTGTGTGTGTGTGTGTGTGTGTGTGTGTGTGTGCGTGCGGGGTGGACACGCATGTTTTTTCTCATTGTGCACTCATTTGGCGTGATGAGCCCCGTGGCCTCATGGGAAACAAAGTCTTTATTGTTTTGAATCATTAGCAGGTCGACAGCTGCAGGTGAAACTAGGTGACATCATCGCGCTGACCCCACCCACAGGCTCAGCGAGATTACTATCTAATGAAAGTGGGTTTTAGACGTGTTTGACCCACCATGTTTGTCCTCTCGTCTCTTTCAGAACCTCCGGGTGTCCGACAGTTAAAGAGAACTTATAAATACTTCCAGGACTACAGACAGGTGAGTTTGCTGCCCCTCAGAGGAAACCCGAGCAGTTCTGACATCTAAAGTTCTGGTGCTGGTTCTGACAGATGATCATTGAGCCAACAAGCCCGAAGCTGCTGCCCGACCCGCTGAAGGAGCCGTACTACCAGCCGCCGTACACGCTGGTTCTGGAGCTGACCGACGTGCTGCTGCACCCGGAGTGGTCGGTGAGTCTGGAGCCAAGAGGAGGGCTTTAATGAAACAGGTGGAGGACAGGTGGTAGGCGTGTCCAAACACTTTCCCCTCAGACACAAATGTATCCACCTGACAGGTGTGCAGCAGCTGTAACTCCACACCTGCTGCCTGTTGCACTCTTGGACCTTACTTCTTATCAGCTGATGATTAGAATCGGTCCAAATGGGAAACTCAGAAGTGTGAACTCACCACGTCTCTGTGCCCTGGTGGGGTTGGACAAGTAATGCCCCCAGCCTCTGATCCTGATGCTTTATCTCACCTGTTCATCCAGCTGTCCACAGGTTGGCGCTTTAAGAAACGTCCTGGCATCGACTACCTGTTCCAGCAGCTGGCGCCACTCTACGAGATTGTGATCTTCACTGCTGAGACCGGCATGGTGAGAACCCTCTCTGACTCATCAGAACCACGTAGATCCAGCGGTTCTGACCCTGTCCCTGCTCTTCTGGGTGTTCTGGTGCAGACGGCGTATCCTCTGATCGACAGCATCGACCCGCAGGGCTTCGTCATGTATCGTCTCTTCAGAGACGCCACGCGGTACATGGAGGGACATCACGTGAAGGTGAGAGGGACGATCGCCCTGCTGGACCTCGCCTCGGTTTTTAATTTCGTATTTTATAGAAATCTTCAGGGAGATCCGGGGAAAACACCCGTAGCTTAAGTTTCATCAGGAGCTCTCCTGAAGCTTGACGGGAAGATTTCAGAGTTTGTTGTTTTTTTTCTCTGGAAATTTCTTCATTTTAGTTTTTAAGAAACCCAAAAACTCCTTCAGCTCCTCAGAATCGAGTCTGCCTTCTGCTGCCATCATTGATTTATCCTCCTCCCCCCTAACTACAAAAGACCCCCCCCCCCCCCCCCCCCCAGGCCTCATTAACCTTCTGCCTTCTACCTCTGATCTCCATACCCCCACCACCCCCTCCAACTGCCATCCCCGTGTTTTGATGGAGGATCCGTCTGCTGGGTGGAAGGAGCTGGTTAACCTACTTCCAGCTTTGACGGTGGGAGCAGCAGATGCTGAGGGAGAGTTCCTGCTGCTACGTATGTCCAGAGAAAGTTGGACCAACTTCCAGGACACGAGGAATGTCCCTGCTGCCTCCCGACACGGCAGACTCATTAACCTGATCAGGGTTGAGAGTTGAGGAGCTTTGTGAGGTTTCCAGCAGCCTCAGACAAGGACCAAATGAAGATCAGCTGACGCATTAGCGGCGTTCTGGCTGCTGCTATTGTTTCCTGGCCTGCATCCTAGCGTCGGCGCTGCAGATCAGACGCCCGGTCGTTGGTGTGCTGCAGAACCAAACAAATGGTTGGATGATCTGTTTAAAGCCTGAACGTGGTTAACTGTCGTTTTCTGAAACGGCTCTATCTTTAGTTTTCATCATTAAATTCTTGTTTTTGTCTTTATATCATTTTAAAATATATTTTGTAATTGTTTACTTTGTGTGTGTGTGTGTGTGTGTGGGTGGGTGGGTGGGGTGGGGTGGGTGGGGGGGGGGCCTGGAGCCTCCATCTGTCCCCCTCTCCCAGAAAGCATCTGGCCTCACAGAGAAAGTGTGTTTTAATCTTAATGAACATAATTGATGATTAAGATGATGAAGTTGTTTATTTAACCGGCTGAGAAAAGGTCAACGGCATCTCTCGGGGTGGGGAGTGGGTCAGAATGAGTCCCTGCTTCCAGTTCGTCTAAACGCCTCTGGACTGACTGTGTCTTCGTCCCGCAGGACGTTTCCTGTCTGAACCGAGACACCAGTAAAGTCATCGTGGTGGACTGTAAACGGGAGGCGTTCCAGCTGCAGCCGTTTAACGGCCTGGCGCTGAAGAAATGGGACGGGAACTCCGATGACCGCTCGCTTTATGACCTCGCCAACTTCCTCAAGAGTAAGACTGGACGTGAGACGTTCAGGGTCTCTCTGGAAAACTCAGTTTCTTCGTTTAAAGTCCAGGCTCAGACGATAACATCATGAATGAGTTCATCTCCGTGGATAAGGGCTATTTTTAATATTAGTGCAGGAAGTCTGAGGACATTCCTGCGGTCTTTGAACGCACCATCACCATAGCAACAATAAAATAACCCATCGATCAGCACGTATTCACATAAGAGTTTCCGTGCTCTTCCACATGTAGAAAAGTGAAGTCAGTCAGAAGCTTTTCTTAAACTTTATTTTGAGCTAAATCGGTTTCAGGTGAGCGGGAATCGGCCCTGAAAACCGGCACCGGTGTGACTCTAAAGTGCTTTACTCTACGTTTTATCATTCATCTATTCACACGCTGATGGTGATGAGCTATGGTGCAGCCACAGCCGATCCACTAAAGATGAAAACTGATTAAAATCTGAAGAAAGAAGCACCAGAACCTGATTGGTTTAGATTTACTTGTAGCTGACAGGAGGAGGTTTGTGTTTACTTCCTGTTCTCCTCTTTGTCAGCCATCGCTCTGAGCGGCGTGGAGGATGTCCGGATCGTTTTGGAGAACTACGCCCTGGAGGAGGACCCCATCGAGGCCTTCAAACGCAGACAGGCTCAGCTGGCGCAGGTAGGAAGAGAAATCCAACAGACTTCCATGTTCTGGTCGCCGATGTCTTTGGGTTTGTCTTGACCTTTAACCCCCCCCCCCAGCAGGAGGAGGATCAGCGTCTGGCAGAACTCTCCCAGCAGAAGAAACAAGGACTCTCCCTTGGCTCCATCACCTCACGGTTCTGGCGTTCCAAACAGCAATGAGGCTCCGCCTCCTCAGACCCTCACCCACACACTTCTACCAATCACAGCTCAGAGTGGAGGGTTGGGGCCTGTGTACCATGGCTGAGCAGCCTCCGCCATCTTGGGTCTGCCATGCTGTATACGGAGCATGGAGATTGGTCGGCTCTGCTCCAATCAGAAAGAGATGGACTTCCTGGTTTGGTGGGGGCAGAGTGTTGACTGGCCCCGCCCCCAGTCATCTTGGTGTCACCTGGTAGTTTTTCAGGCTGCTGGATGGTGGTTGGAGGCTGATCCAGGACCAGCTCTGGGCTCCTGAGTCCGATTCTGGATGGATGGGAACGTTGTTTACACGTCTGTTATTCATCCTAAAACCCCCGGCTGACCCGATGAGGCTCGGAACCAGAACCAGAGAGCAGGGCGTTTGGGTCGGTTGACCTCCACAGTCATACAGATGTTTATTCCTCACAAAGACTTAAGTTATTCTGCTGTTCTCCCCAGAACCAGAACCGGTTGTCTCCGTGTTTGTGAAAGCCTCTCCTGTTTAATAAAGGACTGAAGTCAGCTTGTGGGTGTGTGTTCTGTTGGTTCCTCTGCTGTTTACAGGCTGGAACCTCTGTGGTTCCTCCTCCAGGAGCTCAGGAACGCTCAGCAGATGAACTCGGACGCTGAAACTCTTTAACTTGTTATGAGTTTGGTCTTCAGGTTAAACGAGCAGCGCTGCTGAATGTTTCCATTCAACATCAGAACATCTGGATCCAAGCCAAACTCCGCTTCCTTAACCTCCCCTCGCCATCCCACAGAAGACTCGACCCGCTTCCTGAACTCTGAGGGTCCCACCAGCCTGCAAGCAGAAGGGGCTGATGGGAAACGGTGTGTGCACAAACACCTCAGGTTGACAGACGGATGCAAACATCTGGAACAGAAGTTAAAGACTAAAAATCCAAGAAGTCTGGCTCTTTTTGTTCCTCCATCAATTATTGCTGAGTCTTTTAAACCAGGCATGTCTAAAATGTGGAGGCCTGGGGGCTATTTGTGGCCCTCTCAGTGCTTTTGTGCGGCCTCTGTTTGCATTTCTGAATAATTTCTGTCTCTCCTGTTCATTAGTCAACCCTTTAACGTTGTTAAGTTCAGATTTATACTAATTTGCATATTTTAGACCTATTTTGAGGAGTAGAAATAAAAACAAAATCAGATTTTTGTGGCTCGCACAGATCTTTAACTCGACTTGAAGCATTTGGACACCTAAAATCTAAACCATCACTCAGGTCCCTGGTGGACATCATTGGAAACCAAGATGGAGCCCTAATGTTTGTGGGAACCGACCCACTTCTGTGTTTGTTCCAGCCGATCAGCCCTGAATGTTTTTGTCTTGTCGCTCATCAGCCACTCGCCACTCTCTCACTGGCAGCAAGCCGGGCCGTGATGCGTCTCATCGCCAAACGTTTTAAAACTGAAGCCAGCCATGCTCGTCCTAACACCTTTGTGCTGATGATGCACCTGAACTGAGCAGTGGAGGCAAATGCACCCTGAAATTAGCTTAGCATGATAGATTTTTTTTCTTGGCAATAAATAATTACTATTAACAATGTGAATGACATGGTTTTACCCACCCTCGAATTTAAATTATTTTACATGAGCTAAAAATAATGGCTCCTGTGTGACATTTTTGACATGTAGCTGCAGATGGATCATAATGAACCTGCAGATTGAGGAACACTGTAAGGTTTACATATATATATATATATATATATATATATATATATATATATATATATATATATATATATATATATATATATATATATATATATATATATATATGTGTGTGTGTGTGTGTGTGTGTGTGTGTGTGTGTGTGTGTGTGTGTGTGTGTGTGTGTATTCTGTTGCAAGTGTAAAAATTTATATTTCTGGTTACAAACCAGGTATTTAATTTTATTGAACAGGCATAAAATGTACATTTCACTACAAACCAGGAGCTTCCAAAATTTAGAGAGTACACCTTCATATATGTATATATATATATATATATATATATATATGAGGGAGAGCATAATACAGTGCATAAATTACACAAGTTTTTTACTCAAGTGAAATGTCGGTCTGGGCTAAGCATAGGCGTCACTTTAACCGGGGACGCCGGGGACATGTCCCCGGCAAAATTTGTGATTGACAGCTGTGTCCCCCCCACTTTCAAAAACGCCTGCTGATGAGGATTTTTGTTTTACCAGCTCAGATCTTATCCAGGGGTCGGCAACCTGTTCCCATCAAAGAGCCATTATTACCCGTTTCCCACAGTAATTTTGGACGGACCTTAATAAGCAGTGACTTAAGTGAAGCAGGCAGGTCGCGCTAGAAAATTTAGTTTAAAAAGACGTCATAAATGTTTTCCCCCGTCATTTTTATTTATAAAATATGAAGTAAAAACTCACAATTTAATTTTCATTCATTTGTCATTAATATGTAGTCTACACCCGTGCGTTAACCATCTTCCAGTAAACGCACAGCATCCAGCCCACCTCTCCAAATGCGTAAAATGTGCATCAGCCGCTAGTTAGGCGCACCATCAGCTACGTCAGCCCAGACAAGAGCAGAGCAAATAGAGACAGAATAGAGGATGATTCTGTCTGGATGTGGATGGAGATTACATTTTACAGCAGCCTGATCATCATTTAAATACGTAAACCATCACCTGTCTTCTAGTCCATGCTATCAGCATATATTTTAATTGGTGTGTGTGTGTGTGTGTGTGTGTGTGTGTGTGTGTGTGTGTGTGTGTGTGTGTGTGTGTGTGTGTGTTTCCACTTCAAACACTGGTCTAACCAACCAGACCAGCGTGTCCAGTAACATATTAATGTTACAATTAAACAGTTTCCCTTCATGTAGGCTAGGAACATTTCACCTGCCGTGGCCCGACCGCTTCTGCTCCACATGAACTTTGTGCGTGATCAAATGTCTCTACGCATCATGCGTCTCCATATTAGAGACGGGAACAAGCGCTGTTCAGCCAGTTTCATAATTTCATAAAAAGAACATTTTTCCAAGTGACACATCCCTCAGAGAGACCGGGTTTCCAGACCGCTTCAGTGGGAGGAAATCATTGCATGCACCATGGTTCTGCGCTGCGCTGCGAACCCCTCAGATCTTCAGCTCACTGTCCACCGTGGGCGCTCCGAGCCGCGCTGAACACAGTGTCCAGTATAAAGCTCTGATGTTCTGATGGGAATCTTTTACCTCCGCGATGTGCGTTAACGATTAAAATGTCAGCTCATCCATGCGCATCAGTATGCGTGGGGGTAATTCTTTCAAACCAAGCAACATCCTTGAGTTCATCTGTCAAAATAAACAGTCAAATGGAAATATGTGTAACCTGCCGTTTAACTGTTTTGCCTTCTTGTGAAGATTGTTGCAAAGAGAAACAATTAAACTTGATTAACCCCAGAGCCACGCAGAGCGCATGTGGGAAGGTTCCTCCCACTGAAGTGAGTGTTTTCCAAACGCTGTCTCTCAGAGAGACTTGTCACTTAGAAAATGTTCCCTGATGATGAAACTTTGGCTGAATAGTGCTTGTTCCCGTCTCCAATGTGGCGACGCATCCAGGAGCCGTCTGAGGAGAATCCCAGAATCTCACATCCTCTTCAGCTCAGGAAGCGCCTATGATTACGCACAAGCGTGACGCGTCAACCCGGTCTCACAGTAAGACCAGGTTGGACCTGTTCAGGTATACGCAGACAATCTTTACATTTAGAATTGGCATACAGATGTAAAATTAATGCAGTAAAATATAAAGCATTTTATTTAAATATCCATTCATTATTTTACAAACACAGAGCCGCATCAGATGGATGGAAGAGCCGCATGCGGCTCCAGAGCCGCCGACCCCTGTGCTAGCCTACTTTATTGTCCCCAGCAATTTTTAAACCCCACTCAAGTGTATGGTTATTGTCCCCAGCAATTCTGGAAACAAACTGACGCCCTTGGGGCTAAGCCCAGGTGTTCCTACAGGCTGGAGACGCCCCTGGTTAGTTCTGAGACGTCATTTAGATTTTTTGCATGAAAACTGGATTCAAACGTTAAAAGGTTTTAAGTTCTGACATCAAAAACTGCAGTAGCCTCAATAAGTGGATCAGAACCGTGTCTCCAGCCTCCTGCAGCAGTAATCTGACAGGTTGCAGACCTCACACCTGTCAGGGTCCGGGTGCACCGGGTAAGTCCATAACCTGAACTGGAAAACATTTGATCAACAAATAAATAACGGATGCTTTGGTGCATTTTTTTCCGCTGAAAACAATGTTATTGTGTTCTTATTCATCTGCGACGTAAGTTTAAATATTGTTACCTTTAGTTTCTGTACGTTTCTCATATTCATTTTTTATTCATTGTGTTCTGATTACTGAATGGTTCTGTTGTTATCTGGATCCGGACTCAGGTCTGAGCAGCAGTCACGTGGGTTTGTTTTTGAGCCGTTCAGGTTGCTGCATCATGCAGGTGAAGGTCTCTGCTGCAGCAAACGGTGCAGCTTCACACATGCTGTGTGTGATTGAAATCCCAACCTGCTAAAACATCTGCAGACACGCGCGCGCGCGCGCGCACACACACACACACACACACACACACACACACACACACACACACACGGCTGCTGGCTCGTGCCTTGGGAGGAAGAGGAGGGAGGCCCCGCGCTGCGTCTTCTCACCTGACAGACGTTAGCGGGGAGGTGTGAGCCCCGCCCTCACAGCAGCGCGCGTCATTAACATCAGAGGAGCTCAGCAGGGGGCGTGGCTGAAAACCAGCGTGCAGCTCGCGGGTGACGATGGATGAAGACATGGCGTTAGCGTTCTACTTGTTTAATTTGTCATTTTAATCCTGGTGCCTGTTAGCAGCTGAAACCCACCCTCACGTGCTTGTGGATATCATATATTGTATATGGAGACATGACTGTAATAATAAGTAAAGGTTATCAGCTGTAGGTTTAGTGCGCTCATAGGACACGTGACAAGAGAAAACATCCCATTTCTCTTTATGGCCTATATAGTTGTCATCATCAACATAACATGACTTACAGAATACATGTGACCAACTAACATTTCATGTTCTACCACCGGATGTTTGGATCAAAATATGAACCAATCAGATCTTAGATCAGGTGAGAACCAGGCGTTTCCCGTCATCCTCTAGGTTTTGCAGCCGGTGGAGAGCAACTGCAGCGCCATGCTCCAAAATCTGCAGCCGCCTTGATCTCACGAGGTTGTCGTTGCCTACGTATGCATGACGTCAGAGCAAGTCGGCGTCAAGCCGGACACAAATCTAACGGTCACCGCTGGTCTAATCGGCGCAGAACTGGCTCATCTCGAACGCGGCCGCTGTTCTGCTGGCGGGAGTGGGCGTGGCCAACACCAGCTCACAGGTGATTTCAGTTGCAAATGAAACTCTAGTTCTTTTCACCTCCTCGCGCTGTTCCGTTTGTTTCGCGCGCGCACGCTGAGGTGTCAGAACTCGCACCTCAGCAGACTTTCCCACGGTTCTCCACTCGAACCCCCCACCCCCCACCCACCCCCCAAGGAGCACGCGCCACGCGCAGTGAATCTTCTCGCCTCAGCAAAGCTCGTGCCACATTCATTTGGCCCATTTGGGCACGTGGTGTTAAACAAAAGGCGCACTCTGAGCGTCAGCAAGTGGGAAACAGGCGCAAACTTTACAGTTCAGAGAGTCTGAATCAGAAACGCTTCAGGAGCTGGTTCTGGTTCATCAGCTGTTTATCAGCCGTAGACAAGAACCAGCTGGACTCCTAAAATGTGATTAGAAGTGATTAAAGGAGAAAATATAACTGAATCAGATCGGATTAAAGATCAGTCAAACATGAGCGGGGCAGGCAGACGTTCTGCGTCCACACGGTGCAGATTTATCACGTGCTTTAAAGGATGTCGAGACGGTACTCTGTGTGATACAGGCGCGCACGCACGTGCCACACTTGTGTAAACACCGAGAGAGAGAGAGAGAGAGAGAGAGAGAGAGAGAGAGAGAGAGAGAGAGAGAGAGAGAGAGAGAGCTTACAGTACTTTTATTATTTGGACCGAACCATGACACCTGGACTGAACTATAGGACGCAGGACCAGAAAAGAGTGACCAGAACCGGACTCTTCTTCCGGTCAGGGTAGATCAGTTTTTGCCTCCGGCGGAACCCCCCCGCGTATTTTTTTGGGATGAATCTCTTTCGATTTGATTGAAGCCGCCTCGGCGCGTGCCTCTCAGTCCAACTCCTCCTCCAGGTGGACTCCCTATGCAGCAGCCCTCTCCCTCTTACTCCTCCCCCTGTTATAAAGCAGGAGGAACCGCAGCCGCGTCAGTCCAGAGTTCAGCAGCAGCCTCACAAACACCGACATCTCCCAAGACTCTAGAACCGGGTGTCTTGTGTCACGGGCGGATCCAATTTTTTTATCATTTCTCCCAGAGACATTACTTTTTGGTGCAGGTTGGACTTTACGCATTGCTTGTTAAGACCCGCTGCGCGCTGTCACCTGGAGGCTTCGCCATGGCGCGCGTGCTAGTGCCATGTCTGCTGGTGCTCATCTCAGCTCAGACGGTGAGAATCTCTGGCAGTCCTCTCAGGAGCCCAGCTCACACTTTAGCTCCAGAACCGAGCAGGTCTGCTGAATTTCTGCTGCTGGGTCTTGGTGAGCAGGGAGGTTTGGATGCGTGCGCTTTTACGCGCAGCACGCGGAGCCTTTTCTAGACACTAAATCGGCTTTTAATGGGTTTTGTTATTTCGGAGAATGTTTTATCAATTAATCACAAAGTTACAAACTTTTTTGTCACAATAAAACGTTAATATCGTTATTTCTGCAGCAATTATTAACACGAAAAGTTCCTGACAGAAACTTCTGGTCTCAGCTGATGTTTGAGCGCACTCCCGGTCTCTCACCTCTCTCTGCACCCCCCGCAGACTCTCTCCTCCGGTGTGTTCCAGCTGAAGATCGACTCCTTCACCAGCCCCAGCGGCATCTGTCACTCCCAGTCAGACTGCCAGATCTTTTTCCGCGTGCGCCTCGCGCACTCGCAGAGCGGTATCAGCCCAGAGCCCCAGTACACGTACGGGATCGCGCTCACCGATGTCCTCAGCGCCGACCCCAGCTCCATCTCCCAGAGCGAGCCCATCAGGGTGCCGTTTGCCTTCAAATGGCCGGTAAGTGGCGGAAATCGCAGATTCTTCAGTTTGACTTTCAGACATAAAACAAACAAATGATCGCTGATGATAATTTCCTCATTCTACTCAGGGGACTTTCTACCTGATCACAGAAGTCTGGAACGCGGAGTCTTCAGTTTTGAAGTCCACAGGTAAAAACTGCTGTGGGTGCAGCTCTGCTGTGTGGCCGCAAGGCGGCGACAGAAAAACACATTCAGGTCCAACGCGAAGCCCCCACAGACACCAGAATCCACATCTCTGTAGGAAAATTAGACAGAACACCAATAAATATCATTTAAATAAAATAACAGCAAACGTAGGAAGATATAAATCGATGAAAGTTTTCTTTGTTAATCACAAGTTTTAGATGGATCACAATTTTCTAGAAAATTAAAACAAAACCCAGATTTGATGCAGAACCATTGTTGAAGTTTACAGAGAAGTTAAAACAAACCAGATTTAATTATAAAATCCTCCAGTCAGCTGATTACCTGGTGGTAGGTAAGGGACAGAGGCCGCTGGCGAAGAGAGGGACATGTCCCGGTCCAAAACTTCAACCATCTATTTAAAGAAAACCAACATCTGGTCCCAGACATCAACCACTACAGGATGACCTTTGACCCCTTCAGCAGCTCAGCATCAGAAACCATCAGGGGAACCTCGCATCTTCATCATCATCTTCACAGACAAACTGACACCTTTCACAGGAGGAGGAAACATAATGTGTTCTGGGAACATACGTTCGTCTCATATGGACAGTGGACATGTCTTCTGTCAGAAAAGTCCATGTTTTAGCTTTAGCTGCCTTTGGGACAAAAAAATCTGTATAACTCAAATGTGAGACAGCTCATTCATGATTTTCTTAGAGGAAGATGGAGAAGCCAGCTTTTGTAAATGGGATAGGGGACAACAGAGTCCATGTCGTCCCTTAGATGGGACGGGGGACATCAGGGTCCACCGTCATGTTTAGTCCAAGGTGCCACTGATGCTGAGGATGATGTGAGAGTTTTGGACAGGTGAGATCTTTCCCGGCACCTCCGTGTTGATCCTGATCCTCACGAGTCAGAGCTGCTGTGAACAGACTCAGATTTACCTGATGAGCTGTAGAGGATCTGAAACTTTCTTTAGTGTCTCACTGCATCAAATCAAGCGTGACTAAATAAAACCATCAGCCCTGAAACAAGTTTACGATGTCTAAACACGAACCCATTTTCCCACTTGTCGATCCAGAGAACCAGAACAACCTGATCAGCCGGATGGCGGCCCGTCATCAGCTCCAAGCTGGGGAGACGTGGACCAAGTACATGGGCCTGGACAACCAGAACGAGCTGCGGTTCTCCTACCGCGTGGTGTGCGACGAGCACTACCACGGCCCGTCCTGCTCGGCCCTCTGTCGGCCGCGGAACGACACCTTTGGTCATTACAGATGTGACGGCGAGGGGACCCGCCACTGCCTGGCGGGCTGGAGGGGCGAGTACTGCACGGACCGTGAGTCTCACCGGGGTTTCACCCAAACCTAACCCTTCTTCTACAGCGTGGCTTCACCTCAAGGGTCAGTCACAACTACTGGATGAGCTTCTGTTCTCCTGCAGAAGTGTGACCGCTCCTCCTCCTCCTCCTCTGTTTTCAGCCTGACATGTCTTCAGGGAGGAGGGAGGAGGCGGTTGCAGAATGAGCTTTTTGGTGCCTCATTTTTTTGTGCAGCAGCCTTGACATTGTGAAGTGGAGCAGTTGTCGACGCCGTTGTCGCCCCTGGTGGCTGCAGAAGACAAAAAGTTCTTAAAGCTTCTGTCGTTTCCACTCTGTGTGTGTGTGTGTGTGTGTGTGCGTGTGTGTTTGGCTCTGAGGTCTGTTCCCTTTGTTTTGGGCTCAACAATGGGCCCCCAACTGGCCCCTGGTCGGCCCCTGGCCTGCTACTCTAACAGCGACACGCGCTGAAGCTTAATGTGTGCTGCCTTGCGTGAAAGGAGACGGCATGTGTTGCTTTTGTTGTGCAGGCCAGCTGCTTCGTTCAGCACTTAAGCACTTGCAGGGGAGGCGCGTGCGTGTGTGTGTGTGTGTGTGTGTGTGTGTGTGAGGCCTTGAGAGGGGTGAGGAGGTGTTTTCATTTGTACTCCTTGTGATGCTCTCTCCTCCTTTCTCCCTTTCCCTCTCTTTCTCTTCCCTCCTCCCATCAGCCATCTGTGCAGGAGGCTGTGCCGAGCAGCGTGGCTTCTGCGAGTCGCCCGGCAAGTGCAAGTGTCAGCAGGGCTGGCAGGGCGAGCGCTGTGACGAGTGCGTGCGGCACCCCGGCTGCATCCACGGGACCTGCCAGCTGCCCTGGCAGTGCAACTGTAAGGAGGGATGGGGAGGCCTGTACTGCAACCAAGGTGGGTTTGACCCAGAAACGAGCCGGTCAGTCAGTTTAATGGGCAGGAGGGGGGTTACCAGTGCCGTGACCCACCTGGATGGGAGCAAATGAAAGCATGTAGAGCATATCAAAAACACGGAGAAGGCATGAAAACAGTTATGTTGATTATAACTTTTACTCTCCGTCCCGAGGTCCCATTGAAGACGCGGGGAGATGGGGCTTTCTGTGTGGCTGGCCCTAAGCTGTGGAATGCCCTTCCTCTAAAGCAGGGGTGTCAAACTCACACGGGGCCGAAATGAAACTCTGGGACGGAGTCGAGGGCCAAACTTAATATTTTTTGAAAAAGTGACGGCAAATTTGCACATTTTCTTTATCAATATATATGCAATTTTGAACCTTTAAATTGGGAAACAAACTTATTTCTGCATTAACACTGAATGTGGAATAACCAAATTACACACGAGCAAGTCAGTTTTAAATAAAAGGCATCAGTGGTATTCATCACTTGTGGTACAATCAGCATTTTTAAAATCTATTAAGTCTTTAAATCTTTTCTCACGGGGCAACAACAAAATAAAAATATCATTTTATCTTAAATGAAAATGCAACATCTCACCTGTTAACTTTCATGTTTTGGAGCAGAAAAAGAGCAAAAAACCAACATATTTAAAGCTCAGTTTGCTCCACTGGTTTACTGTGATGCTCACCTGTTCCAGCCAGATACCTGCATCATGGGGCTGATCTGAGCTGAGGAGGAGACTCCTGTTGTTTTGTTCATCTTCATCATAATAATGACAACATTAGATGACAACAGGTGCTCACATAGGTTTGTGCTGATGAACATGTCTGAGCAGCTTGACCACGTTGTTGTGTGTCGGGGAGGAAACACAACCACAGAGTCATGCTGGTTTGAACGTGTCGCTGCTCGCTGGAGTTATATCAGCTCTGTCTGGACGTTAGTTGGAAAACTTTCTCTTTCAGTCGTGAACACATTACTGAGCGGCTAGAATCTCCGTTTCTGGGCTTCAAAGTCAGAAAACAGCTGAGTGAACTCGGCGCTGAGTGAGAGGAGTGTAGTTTGTCCGAGACAGCGGAGCTGCAGACACCGGCAGCAGGCGCTGGAAAAAACACAAAGGAGGGGGCGTGTCGGCTCCGCGCTGACGCTGCAAAGCATCATGGGAGTTGAAGTCTTTGCGGTAAAATCAGCCAGCGGGCCAGTTTTAATATATTTTTGATATTTATCTCGCGGGCCACATAAAAATGCTCCGGGGGCCTTGAGTCTGACATATGTGCTTTAAACGTTAGGGCCTCTACTTCTGTGGCGATTTTCAAAGCAAGACTGAAAACTCACCTTTGTGATCTGGCTTTTAACTAGTCGTGTTTATTATGCCAGTTTGTAGGAATGAAGGGAGTGGGTCTCATCAGTCAGTATGTTACCTGCAGCAGGAAAAAGTTGGGGTGATCTCAGGTTTTCTAGACCTTTTGGTTGCCGTGGTTACCCGTGAAATGCCATCTGTCTGCCAGCTTATATAAATGCAGACTATTTGTAAGGTAGGGCTGGTCGGTTCATTGAATTTTAATCTCAATTATGATCTGGGTTTTGAATAATACAAAAAAACAAGAGGAGCCGGTTATTTGCTCCTCCCCTGCTGTTTCCTCTCGTGCTGCTCCGAGTGGCAAATCAAGCGAACCTCCCACGCAGCTTTGTCAGCTTAGCAACTTTTAAGACCCTTTTGTGTTTGTTTTCCCCAAAAGCACCTGGTGAACAATCTAGAAACATTTCTGATGACCCTTAGCTACTTTCTGTATAACTATGTCATAGAATGGTCCCTGCAGGTTTATTGAAACACCAAACCTCCAGACCGTCGTTCCACACATGAAAGCGAAAGGGACGGATGTGCAGCACGATCATGTTGCATAAACCGACCATTCATAAGCCTCTGTTGGTGGATCTCATTCACTCACAACACCAGTCTGACACTGTTTGTCCCGAGGACATCTATATTTCAGGTCACCGTTGCATTTCCTTTAACTTGTGAGTTTCTGCGTCCCCAGCTCCTTCTCCTTTGCTTAATGAGAGCACAGCTAGCAAATTTTCTGCTGCTTTTAATCCACCCTGTTCTTCTGATAACGACCCAGATCTATAAACTAAGTTTAACGAGCACTGCCTCTCCATTCTGGACAACATCTGTCCTGTCAGAACCAGATCAGTTCCTGCAGTGAGCCCTACTCCCTGGTTTAATGACAGCCTTCGCAGCCTGAAGCGCCAATGCAGAAAAATTGAGCGTTTGTGGAAGAAAACCCATCTCCACGTCCATCTGCTGCACCTAAAGGATCTTCTGACATCCTTTAACTCTGCAGTCAGAGACGCTAGGGTTTCCTATTTCTCCAACCTGGTGTCCCAGAGCAAAGGGAACCCCAAGGTGCTGTTTAACACCATCAGCAGCATCGTGTCTCCTGCCTCTCCTACAGCCTCCATCCACTCTGTTGCAGACTGTGAGAACATTCTGTCTTTCTTTGTGGACAAAGTCAATAAGGTTAGATCTAGCATCTCTCCTTCAGCCTTATCGCTGCCTCTCCCGACTCCAAACAGGCCCATCATCCTAGATAGCTTTGCTCTTGTTTCTTTGCCTGAGTTAACCAAACTAGTTAACTCTATGAAGACCTCTGCATGCCCCCTCCACATCTTACCCTCATCTTTGTTTAAAAGTGCTTTTCAGTCCATCCTCTAATGACCTTCTGACTCACAGTGATGCAGGGGACTGTTCTGTTCTGGTCCTGCTGGACCTGACTGCAGCCTTTGACACTGTTGACCATCACCTGCTACTGGAGAGGCTGAGAGACTGGGTAGGCCTATCAGGATCTGCTCTGGAGTGGTTCTCCTCTTACCTCTCTGAGCGCTCCTTTTCTGTGGCCGTCTCCAAGTTTAGGTCCTCCACCACCTCTCTTACCCATGGTGTCCCACAAGGTTCTGTGCTGGGGTCCCTACTCTTCTTTCTCTTTCTGCTTCCTCTTCAGCACATCCTGAGCTCCTTCAAAGGAATCTCCTACCATCTTTATGCAGATGACATCCAACTGTACATCTCCTTTAAGCCCCATGAGATGTCTAAGCTGCAGCTGTTACACACCTGCTTAGACTCTATCAAAAACCTGCATGGTGGGAGCTTTCTTCAGCTGAATGAAGATAAGACTGAGATCCTCATCTGTGCTCCAGACAAGCTGGTTCCCAAAGTCAGAGACTCTCTTGGTCAGCTTGCTTCTCACACCAAACCTTCTGTCAGGAATCCTGACGTGACCTTTGACCCAGCTCTCACCCTGGATTCTCATGTCAGTTCTCTTGTTCGCTCTTCCTTCTTCCATCTCAGGAACATTGCTAAGCTGAGTCCCATTCTGTTTCGCTCTGAACTTGAGACAGGTATCCCTAGCGATGGGTACCGAATTTGGTACTTTTTAAGGTACCGACCGAATTCCACAGTACCGACTGAGCACCGATTCACGTCATTTGAAACGATGCCTCGTTTCGGTACCCGTCCTTCATAACGGGAACGTGCCTAGACAGCTGCGCATGCGCAAGAGCGTTATGTCGTTGGTCGCTGTGAGCGAGTTGTAAACAGAGCAGCATGGTAGAAAGAACGCACGCTAAAGCTTGGGTCCACTTCACTAAATGTGATGGGTAACTGGGTGATGATGAAACCAGCGACAACGATCTAAGTGAGACATCCTCACATTAATCTGCTCCGGTAGGTAAATAAAATGTTTAAGATAACGTTAGCTTGATATGTTAGCTTCCGTTCCGCTAATGGTGCATTCGCTTTCTCCTCGGAATTCCGAATCTCCGGCTAGAAGAACATGAACGCGCTCTAAAGTTTGGCTTCACTTTACTAAATGCGACGGGTGATTGGGTGAAGATGAAACCAGCGACAACGATCTAAGTGTGAGGCATCATCGTCTTAATCTGCTCCAGCAGTTAAATAAACTGTTTAAGATAACTTTAGCTTGATATGTTAGCTTCCATTGCCACCATTGTTATCAGCTAATGGTGTGTTCGCTTTCTCCTCGGAAATTCTGACTTCCCAGTAGGAAAAATCAAATGAAAAAGGACGGCAAAAGGAATGAAGATACACAGTAAATTTAGTTCACAGTAAAGATGTTTGCTTCAGTTTAATTATCAGCTTATAAAACTACAAGGACGATGTTAAAATACAAACAGTTGTATGTTATTTATCGTGATATTTATCAAATATGGTTATATATTGAGAAAAATATATATTTATTTATAAAAGAGAATTAAAATATTAAACACTCAAAAGTGTCTAAAATTGGTACCGTTAAGTACCGGTGTCGATTCCTAGGTACCGGGAATTAGTACTGGATCGATTCAAATGTCAAAGGTACCCATCCCTAGTTATCCACACCTTCATCTCCTCACACTTAGACTAGGTTCTGTTACCAAGTCCTACTGGTTGTGCAGAGCACCAGGCTAAAGGTCAAAGGTGACGGATCATATGCTGCTGTGGCTCCCAGACTCTGGACCTCTTTCCCCTTGAGCCTGAGATCAGTGGACTCAGTGGTCTCCTTTAAAAAGGAGCTGAAGACTCACCTGTTCAGGCTTTGGTGGGACCTTCATCACCACCCTCTCCCATTCCGCCTTTCCCGGGATCCACTGATTTCCCTCTTTCTTATTAATTTTCTCTCTCTCTCTCTCTCTCTCTCTCTCTCTCTCTCTCTCTCTCTCTCTCTCTCTCTCTCTCTCTCTCTCTCTCTCTCTCTATCTCTCTTTCTCTCTCTCTCTTTCTCTCTCTCTCTCTCTCTCTCTCTCTCTCTCCCCCTTTCCTTACATTTTTAATCACAATTTTTATTTTTTGCCGTTTTAAACATATTTTTTAAGAATTAAAAAAAGTTTTTATATTTAAAAGTTTTTGCTTTGAAGCACCTCGTGATTTTTATCTTGAGGGGCGCAAAATAAAACATTGTTTTCTTTCTTTCTAAACAAATTCAACATACAGACAGCCATATCTG